CAAAAATACTTGAGTAAGATGTTTTGATGTAACTAACTTGTGTTGAGTGTATTTAAAGATCTTGTTAAAGATGCATCAGGTGCACATCTTTGCTCGCTCTTTTGACTCTTCAAAAAAACATTTTATCAGCATCTTGATTTAAAATCTAAATGTATATGGGGAGGTGAAAAGCAGCAGAAGACAGAGGGCTTTCGGAAGTTGAAGAAACAAGAATTTTTGGTTCTATTCATGAGCTTACTGTGAATGCAGGTGAAAGAACAGTTCTGTTCTGGGTATTACTTTCGTCTACCAGTGTAGACCAAGAACTATTTTAGAAGCCAATGCCTCTGGGGGGACATGGTAATTGCCAGTCAAAACTGAGAAGGCAGCTTTTATGAGTGGTCTTGTGCTTGAATGTGAGGAAAAACAAAAGGAAATGAATCCATCCTACTGTGTCCTAGAGCACAACTTTAGAAATAACCAAATGTTTAATTAGCAACAAACGTGGGGATTGTCTCATTTAAAGGAATACAATAAATATTGGAGGGTTTGCTGCTATCCAACACTAGACTGTTCTCCTTAACTGTTTTTTTTCTAGAAAATGCAGCCAAGATTTTATAGTGTATCTGTAAGGAATAAAAATGTGTTTTGTTTTTAGAACTCAAGTTTTGATGTCATTGTATGTATCAATTTGTATGATTTCTATGAAAAGCAGTGAAATGTGACTGTGAAGCTCACGCACAATAAATGCAACTGAGGAAGAGTGTGAATCCTGTCATTTCTAGGCTCATGTACAGCTGATGAAGGCATCCAAACTGTGCATATTTTGCTATGCTGAATTTCTAGCAGCACAATTTTGGTGCTTAAACTAGCCAAAATCTGTTATGACAAGGCTAGCTGAGCGCTTGTTCTGAAGCTTTAGGTTTAGTTTTTTTTCTTTTTCCTGGATATTGTTTCAGGCTTTCTCTGCTACTTTTCTTTTTCTCAGAGAAATTCCTTTTTTTTCATAGAGTAATAGGCTTCATAGTGTAGCAGAACAACTTTGATATATTTTGAGGGCATTGCTCATACTGTGCTCCTCTCCTTCATGACTGCTTAAGGAGAAATTTGGATTAACCAGCAGTACTGCTTTCTATGGAACATGCCTGCTGAAAAGTGCAGGTTGCTGTTATGTGAACATGTTGCCCTTTATAGTTCATAGCTCTTAAGTACACAAATTATCAACAACTTGCAACAACCAACCCCCATTTTTATATCAGTTATTACACTGCCACTGTGTCTTGTTTTGTTAGTGTCTAAGCTTAAAAAAAAAAAAAAAGGGTGGTTTCACATCTGTTCAGGGCACAGATCACATCAGCTCACTCTGAACACTTACTACCAGCTGGCTATGGTAGGGCTAGGAAGAGTTGAGTGGGGGCTACCGGAGCATGGCAAAGACAGTGCACACTGGGAAGTGTGTGTCAGCTCTCAGGCCCTTGCTGGCATCTTTGCACCAGATAGTGCAAAACCAGCCCCTGCTGCACTCTGGGGGCAGGTAACCACCAGCAGCTCCCTGCCTGCACACAAGGTGCATGGTCATGCTACTTGCTGTGTGTGATGTCAAGGCAAAGCAGTGTGGTGTGGCATGCTGGGTGTTGTAGACTTGCTCAGCGGTGGACACCTACCTCTTCCTGCCAGTGTGGCCTGGCCTGTGGCTGAGCTTATCAGTCTACAGTGGGTGGTGGTGGCAAAGCTGATAAGGGAGACTCAAAGTGCATGTTGGTGCTCAAAATGCAACATTTAAGGGACAAGTATCATGTTCTGATTAAATGAAAGGCATGTTCTGTAAGCAAGAGAAAGCTCAGTTGCAGCCTTGCTGCATCGGATGTACCACAGCTCTGAAACTGGATGCAGAGTCCTAATCTTTCAGGTTATGTTGCATCTTGCTTACTGGAAACTTCTCTGCTGGTACAAGCTTAGGTGCCGAGTGTAGCAGTGGCCAGTGCTGTCTGACCAGCTCCAAAGCAGCCCATGGCCCATCATGAGTGTTGCACATGGGGTGACCGTCCCTGCAGCATCAGTACCTGATCACTGATTGAATCTTACTGCCTGAGGTAAAATCCAGTGTGCTGCATGCTCAGAAGGCAGTAAAGTATTAGGTTCAAATTTTGGGTGGGAGAAGGGGTGGGCGAGGGAAGTATCACCTTGTGAACTCTGTGTTCCACTGCAAATCAGCGTTTTCCTACCTACCAGTGCAGCCTCTCAGGCATGGCACACCTGCATGTATGAGAATATAAGTGAAATTAAACACCTGAAGAATTTGGTGATGCTCTTTATGTAACTATAGCTGCTGAAATGTCATAAATATTTGCAGGTCTGCGGTCTTAAGTTGGTTGCAATCCACTAGACCATACCATGGTAGGAAACATAATGAAGAAGGAATGTTCCCCAATATATGTTGCAACTGTATCTTAAAATATAAAAATATATTCCTTTGAGGTTTTTTTTATTTTTATTCAGTTTGTACCCTCCAACAGCTTTTAATTCCTGTAGGAAAAACATTGTAGATGTTTTTCAGGTTAGAGAAAAGGAGTATTTCACACCACCTAAGAAACAAAAGACTCGGGGTTGCCACCTAAATGTTCACATTAGGGGTTTTTTAATGATTTCTAGATGAAATGCTAAAACAAAAGAAAAAAAATGTTATAATCTTTTGTGAATGCTCATGATGTGTAAGGAGGGGGGGAAGTCAGTATCTGCGGGCTTTTATTCTGAATAACTCATAGGGGAAATTCTATATCAGCACTTTAGTGTTTCACCTCGAAATCATTCGTTGTAAAAGACTTTAACAGGATTCTGCAACAATATGCAGTTAAGCAGGCTTGCCCCACTGAAGGTCATTCTTAATCTAAAAAGGAAAGTTGTATCAAGGACTAAAGGTACTTGGCAGACAACATTCTAACCTTGAGTTAACTCCAGATGCATGAAAAAGCATCCTCGGCTGTTGGAATGAGTTGGGCTTTTAGGTGTTATTGCTAACTGAAGATACAGGTTGTGCTGTTGGAGTGTTTCCCAGTTTGCACAAATATTCTGCAGCTGACCACCAGCAAGAAAGATAAAGGTCATCAACTGTAATAAGAGATCAATATGCTAATTGTACTCTGATTGTAGTCAAGCATTTGAAACTTATGTACCACACTAATGCTTCTTCTGAGTGATGTTGGTATCCATCTTATGTAACCCTTGGCAAAACTTGGCTTTGTGTGTATGGACACCAAGATATTTATAGCATACATATGTGGCGTAAGGGAAATATTTCCAGTCTTTATTCTTCTATAATTTCCTTTTTTTTCTATACTGGAAAGGGAAGAGGTGAATTGTTTATTATCCTTTGGGAACGCACTAATCTGCTGTTTCTCACCACAGCCTTACATTTGCTTCTCTTTCCTGTTGACCTGCTGTTACATAATTTTGTATTTCACTCTAAACCAGCTAATATAATTTAAAAAAGACTTATGAAACTGACTTTGAAATAAATTTACACACACACACACGCTTAAAAACTGTAAGACAGTGTACTTCTAATTTTCAGAAACTGACATTTTGCCTTTTGGAGTTTGAGGTCTGAATCTGCTGGCATCGAGTCTTGATTGTTTTGACTGCACCCATGTAAACATCAATTCTGATTTTCAATATACAGCAATTTGTATTTGTACAAACATTCTTTTAAGTGTACACTCCTGTGCACACGAAGAGTTCAGTCAGTTCAGCTGTTGTGGCAGTGTGTCCATGTTCTTCATGTTTATGTAAGTAATCATACTGTTACCATGGAAAATTGCTTTTACCAGAAGAAGTAAATGAAAAGGGCTAGTTTGGTAACAAAGTCAAAAGCAAATCCAGCTCAGCTGAAAACAAGGTTCTTTTAACTTCGCAGGAGCAGGACTTCAATACCAGTGTTGTGGTGAGCTGTAGTGGCAACTTAGCACTTAAATTTATTTACAGTGTCCAACAAACAAACTACTGCATATTTTAGCTTCTGCTACCCTTCAGACTACTATAAAGTTTTGTTTTTTCTCCTGGAATTTGTACAGACATCCAGATTTCAAGATTTAACATAGAGATAATTCAAAATCTTGCTTATTCAAGGCATGAACACAAAATATAGTCTGGGTTCTGCTGTAATACTGTGGGCTCATGATGCTGTGTTATAGCATGCTGTGATTACACCAACCAATAGTTTTAAACCAAGTTCTTTGTATATAGTTTTCACCAGAATTTCTTATCTTTAATAAGATAAAAAAGTCAGGAAAAAGTTTCCATGAAAACTACTGTTTATTGGTGTCAGAAATTGAGTAAGAAAAATGCTTGCACACCAATTCCATGTGAATCTACAGGGAAACTAGACAAGTCCCACATTTTTCTCTTGCTGCATTGACTTTGACAGCCAAAGAATATAAATCTTGAAAAGTACAAAAAGTTTATTTAAAGTAGGATGTTATTTCAAGTGCATACCATCTTTTTACAAAATATACAACCAACCAGCTCATTGATAAACTTATCTATCAAAAATCACTATCAGTGCCTTTTTCAAAGATTTTATGATATCAGCACATCTAGACAGAACAGACATTTAAAGTAATTTTGTAGACTGACAGTGGGCTTCCTAGGGCTCTTTGGTACTTGTTTTGGTTTTACATCTGTAAAGGAATGTGCATATATAGCTCTTCACTAAGATAAATTATGCTTTTCATATGATTTTATCAAAGTTAACTGAACTATGGTTATATAAAATATCCAGTGCCACACTAAATCCATATACCCATTTATAACTTAAAATAGTTACTCTTTACCTTTCTTGCTTTCTCATACTCTTTACCTGTATGTCTAAACAGAGATAGTGATGGATACATATGAAAAGCCAAGTTAAGTAATAAAAAAAATAAAAATAAAATTAGCGATAGTTGCCTCTGATTTTGGAAAACTTGCTTTATTGTTTGTTTTTGTGGGGTTCTTTTTTTGTTTGTTTGTTTGTTTTGTTTGTTTTTTGGTTTTGTTTCCTCAAAATTCCGAAGGTTTATCTGCAGGACTGTTGGTATAGATAAGTTTGACCATCTTTTCATGATTTTCTAGAACTCCAGAATAAGGTGTGATGTTTGGGGATTTTGTGTGTGGGTTTTGGGGTTTTTTTTCTCTCTCTATACAGAGACATTTGAAACTGCTGTTAAGCTCTTCCAGTGTGAATCTGATTCAGGTTTCAAGTTCTTAGGGATGAGGGGTTAGATATGGGCACTGGTCAGAAAGTTTCAGCTGTCTGCTTTTCTTGATTACTGTTCTTATTAGAAACCATGTTGCAAGACAAAAATATGATACTGGATTTAAACCATGGCACTGCTGATCTTCACTCATCTTTATACAACTTATAAAAAATGTGGACATTGCAACACTAGTGTTATGACTTAAAAATCTGGGTATGACTTATTTCAGATTGGGTTTAGTTCTGCTAATGAAAGGGCTAGTGTGTTTTCCTTTATATGCACGTTTGGAATTTCTGGTGATATAAAAACATGCAAAATGTATATTTTTGAAAACAAACCATAAAATAAAAGCTCACTGTAATTTTGACCTCCAGGACTGAAAAGAACAGCCTGTTTTCTGTTTGAAGTTCCCATTCATTGTAGTACTGTGTTCCAGATATCCCATTCATTTAAATTACAGAAATAGAGTACTACGCAACACTGGGGTTCACCAAACAAAGGTTTCTTTTCAATGGTCTATTTTTATGCTCTATTTATAATACTGTAATAGGTATTTTAGGAAAACTACTATTAAGCAAATAGTTCTATAGTTCTGAATTTTCAAGTATGCTTCAGCTGTCTGGTTTGGCAGCCCGGTTTAAGAAAACAAATGATAGGCTTTGCAGTAACAGCTCATTAGACAGGAAGATGGGCTTGACCTTAAGGCCTGAGTTCAGGGATACAAGTTATCAAAGTTTTGCATGACCCTTGGCTCATCTCTTATCTTCATGTGCTTCAATTCTCTATCTATAGAACGAGGGATAATACTTTCTTCGCTTTCTTACACTGTAAACTCCTACTGTGCTTACTATACATGAAGCCAGTAGGACCAGTACTGTAGTGATGGCTTTGGTACTGGTACAGTAATACATTCTACATTATTGTTAAGGCAATTCCATAAAGATGTAATGTTAGCTGTAAAAATATAGCTGTATATATTATTAATATATAAAAGTATAAACAAAAAAATGGACTTTCGCAGTTCTGTACTGGAGTCTGATGTTTCACCTTAAATGCTGCTCTATACACAGCCTGAATAAAGTAGTCAACAGCACATCCAGTTTCAGTCTGAACAGTACAGACCATTAAGAGTCCCTTTGTACAGATCCTTAAGGCCACTGAAAATCCACCTCAGGTACCTGATGTTTAATTTGGTCTTCAACTTTCAGTAGTCCTTATGAGAGCCACGGAATTTATATGGAATGTTTCAGCCAGGTAAGTTTCATGTACATCTTCCCATCACCACCCTCCATTTCTACCCCCCCCCACACTTCCTAAGGTGTGGGCCAGGGCCTTCCAGGTCTTGCAGAATGTGACAGATAGGACTGATGAAGACAGGACTGCAGTGGCTCTCTCAGGCCAGCTGTTGTTGATCTGGACTGCTGACTAACTTCATCAGTTTAACTGTTGCTCCTTTAAAACACTGAAAGCCCATTATGCAATTGCTGGGGAAAAAATAAAAGGAAAGAAGTAGCCATCAGTAAGAGAACTAGTAGTCTAATGTCTCATGCAAAATAGAAAATACTACTTGTGAAATACAGATGAAATTTGGGTAATTTTATTATTTGGGAATTTCAGCTGAAAAGGTTAAGAGAAAAGAAAAAAAAAAGCCAAAAGCAAGAAGGCTTCTAATGTAAGATTGTCTTCCATTTCTTTTTTTGACCCATGTTTTGCATATGTAACTGATGAAAAATCAAGTTGGGTCCTCTCATTATTTCAGATGTTGTGAGAAAAAGAGCTATGCTTATCCCAGTTTCCAACCACCTGTTGAAATTCAGGCTTAAGGGCCCATCCTGTTTGCATCTGCAAATAGCTTTATCCATATGTACAACTCCATTGAGATCAATAAGATTACTCGTGTGAGTCAAGTTACCCAGGCATGTAAATATTTGCTGAATTAGGACTAAAACTGGAAGGGAATGTAAACGTAGGTGGTAAATCTTACTTAAGATAAAAAGAGCTGAGCACCCACAATGATGACTGGAGTTAAGAGAGTTAGTTCAGGTGCCTGTCACCCCTCACTCCCGAGTCAAGCTTTATGAGTTTCTAAACAGCTTTATAAAGCAGAATTATCTTTAACTACATGTCTACAACATGGATTATGAACTAGTAAGTACACTGTTTTGCCTTGCCATTGACTTTCCTTACAAGAATTTGGCTCCCTGTGAAAAAGGAGATAACACTGAAAATATCTTTTGTCTTGATACATGATGGGAAAAATAATGCAAGTATAAGTGCACACGTACTGTGCAGCTACTGCAGTCACAGGCCAAATGCATTATATGCAGTTGCAAAGCACACTAGAGAAAATGCAGGTGATTTCTTCAGCCAGTTTCCACATTACAGATGCTGAACTGGAGGAATGGGGGTTAAATTTACTTTTCTTAGGAACTGAAGGAAGCCGTTCAGAATCAGTTCAAGAAGTCTCTGGGCTTAAATTCCACCATCCCTGTCATTCAGTCTCTGCATGCTGAATAAATTGATCTGATTGCTTATCTTTTTAGATTTATGCTTAAACTAATGAGGGAATCTCATTTAATCTGTCTCTTTCCAAATTGACTGCAGTGAGGAGACATGGCATTCAACAGTAAAGCATCCTTGTCATGTCCCTCTTTCTACTTGCAGTTCCATTCTGCCACTCACTATGCAGCCCATCTGAGATTAAATTTAAGATATGGTAATCTTTTTTCAGCCTCACAAACCTGCCAGTTTACCATCCCGTATGCATATTCCAGGTGTTTAACAGGCCAGCACTATGGGGTGGAATGGTACCTCTTTGAATGGCTGTTTTGGGAGTGGTATGGGCTCTTTTCACCAAGGCAGTTTATGCATTGACAAGATTCTTGGTATACGGTTGTTAAAAGCTTGACTTTAGTCTCCTTTTCACTATTAACTGCTTCATAAATCAAAACATCTGGGTCCACAGAGAGCAGGTTCTGCCATTGTGTATTTACGATGCTGTCGTGCCTGGGGCTGCAACATTATTTTAATACATCATGAGTTTAGAAGATGCAAAACTACCAACTGCATGTTTTATTCATTCTCAAATTGCAAGAGCGCCTAGGTTTCCTTTTGATGCCTTCTCTATTTGCATATGCTACCTGCGTTCTTCTGCAGCCACTTAGTATTTGAATGTATATGCCCTCATCAGCTATAAAGCATTAATGTTTTGCACTTGTATAGCCTTTCATCTAAGGAGCTCAAAGTCTTGCTGACAATGAAGAAGAATTACAGCCCCCTTTGAAGTGGGTAAATGCTACTACCTTCATGTTACTGACGGGCAGAGTGAGGTAACTTCACCCTGTATTCAGCACAAGAGCCTGAGCATCTTCTCTAGCTACTGCTTTGTGCAGCTCATCACCAGCTTTGTGCTCATCACCAGCTTTGCTGGCTATCTTAAGCACTTGTAGGGCAGTGATTCCTCTTATTTAGCAGATCCGGCTGGTTTGTACCAGAAAGGGAAGGCGTTAGCGAGGTGAGAGGTGGCCAGGGAGGGGAATAATGGAGCTCTGAGGGGAGCGACAACCCCGCGCTCCACCGTGCGCCTGTCCGAAGCCCTGTGCTCAAAGCAGACGGAGGCCGGATGAAATCATGGCCCTGGCTCGGCTTGTTTCGCCAAGTGCTTCTTAAACCGTTCCGAAGCGCAGGTGTGACTTAGGACACATGCTCGTTGCTGGGAGAGGGACGCCTCGCAGGACGCGAGGCCCCGACACGCGTGTGTTACCTGGGCCAGGCTCCAGCAGGGCTCAGGGGAAGGGCACCCTGGAGTGGAGAGGCACGCAGCGCCGGTGGGAGCAGCCGTGCCGGTGGAGCTTCCTGCGCAGGGCCAGGTTGGCTGCGAAGACAGGCAGGGAGGGGAGGAAGGAAAGCAGAGCGTGAGGAGGGGGTCGCCAGCAACCTGCCCCGGTGGTCGCGGTGCGGGGGGGGTCAGCGGCCTTACCCCTGTAGGACCAGTGCCCATCCCGCTCCGCTGGTTCCGACAGTGTTTCGCGGCAGCAGGTTTGCAACAGTTGCCTGCCTTCAGTCCCAGTTTATCCCAGCCCACCCCAAAGTTTCCAGACTCCCCACGTACTCAGATACATTTCTCCACTCCTCACTGTGAGTAGAGTGATGCCGGGCACAGACCGAGGCAGCAATAAACGCGTGGCAGCGGAAGCCAGGCGGATACAAACTCTTCCCGAAGGGCAGGAACCGCGTGTTGGATGCGGTTAGAGACACGCCGGTGGTGCCCACGGCAGGCATGAACACTACTATGCCCTCCTCCCCCCAGCCCATGCGAGTCCGCTGGTGCCCCTTACCTGTCCTCTGTCCGTCGGCAGGCAGGAGGCTCGCCAGGAGGAAAAACACGACACACAGGAGCAGCCGGAGTCTCATGCCTGCGGAGACGCGCTCGGAGGCTCTGTGTGTGTATATATGTGTACAGGCGGAGAAGCGTGAGCGGCAAAGGGGCAGCCCTTTCCTCGGTTGACCACACAGGCTGTGGCGGGCTAGGAACCGCGCGGCAGCGGCGCTTCCAGCGACGTTAACGGTCGGGCAAGAGCAAGGCTTCTGAGCCGCACCGCGGCTAGTGCCTCCTTCTCTGCCCTTCTTCCTTTCCTCTCTTTTCTTTGTCACTCCCCCTTATTTTCCATAAGCAAACAGCGCAGGAATGAACAGTCCGTGTAAACAGTAGCTGCTGTCAATGCACTGGGGGCACGGAGCCTCCTGAACAATGCACTGACTCCGCTTTAAATTCCACCCAAGCAAGGAGAATAAAACGCAAAACAATATGTAAAACAAGCCCCGATGTTCCCTCCCCCATTTGCAACTGTTTAAACTCTGCATTGCCCATATTGGTCCCACATGCAGAAAGCAACGGCAGCGGCAGGAAGTCCCCCTGCGCCCCCCCTCAGTGTGTCCCCCGGCGGGGACTGGCAGGCCCCCAAGCTCGGCACTCCCCGCAGCCCCCAGGCTCTCTCTCTTCTCTAAACTAGCTGCGAAGCGGTGGCTATTCAAAGTGAAACTGGTAGCGTTTAAGGCTAATGGGTGCCTTTGTACCGTCAAGCATTTTTGAAGGATCAGAATATTCTGGAATTAATTTGCGAGCTTGTTTTCTTTCTCCTTTTCTCTTTACGAAGTCAGGTGAAATACAAGTATTACGCGATCTGTCACGGCAGTGCCATTCCGGGGATAGCAGTTTTGGAGAGAACATTACGCTTTCATAACTCATCTGTACATTGCGTTATATTAGTATCAGCTCACGGCGAGAGCTGGCTTAAACAAACCGCGCTGAAAACAGCTGGCGGGGTAACAGTGCAGATGTGCAAGACTGAAGAGGAGACAGACAAGCCCCGCGGAATGTGTTAGCAGCAGGGATCGGTTTGAAATCCAGTGAGCTACCGGCATCAGCTAAACATCGACTGGCCCCTTTCTTATTTTCAACCTGCTGATTTCTTGGGATGGAATAGCACCTTGTGGTTTGGAAAGTGAAAAATTGTCCCTTTCTGGAAAAAAAAAAAAAAGGTGTTTTAAAATACTCAGGAAAGAGGTCATTTCTATATAGATTAAATACTACTATTATTAATAGAAAAATGTTATCAACAGTCTTATAAAGTTTGTTGCCAAATTTCTTAAAAAGTAGAATATATGTGATTTTTTAAATTCAATAGCCTTTGTATTTTTTTTTTTTTTTTTTGCCCTGTTGTGGGTTTTCCCATTTTCTTTAAAATCCTATTTAAGTCAATAGTCACGCTAGTCCCTCCTCATAGTTATATGTCATTGCTGGGTTACTTGGTTAGTCTAGGTAAAGTATGCCTGTATGAACTGAGACAACAGGCATCTTGAATGCATGGTGTGGAAATCGTTATTAAATGTTACTTTAAAATGATGTCAAGACTGCTGAGGAAGATGTCTCAGGCAAAACAGTAACAAAGGATTTATTCCACTGGTTGGTCACATTGGTCTGTCATAGAAAGCACACGCTTCCCAGCTCTCATCTTTACAGCATGGTGGTCATTGTGTTTTCCCTGTGTGATGTCTGGCCTTTGGTCTAGACTTTAGTTTAATATTGATGCTGCTGAAATCAGGGTCCCAAGGTTCAGTGACAGAATTATCCCAAATAGGGTATCATCTCAAATAGAAAAGTGATGAAGAGAAATGGTGTGCCCAGGTCCCATAGCGAGTTTGTGACAGAATCAGGGTTATGTTCTCAATATCCTAAATCTTGCTCCAGTTCCACTGGGACACCTTCAGGGATGTGTTTGTTGTTGATCATGGATGAGAATGTGCTAGTGACCTTGTTAATATAGCCCTGAAAATGATGTTGACTACCTGTCAGCAGTGAGCTATATTGAATTCAGACTTTAAGGTGAACCATAGTATAGACTTCAAAGTGATAGGGACTGTAAATAGCTAAAAGGGCAGAAAGAATGCCTAGACTATTACTAGTCCCTCAGGCTATCTAGGCCTCTTTTGCATTGTATGTGGTGAAGTTTACAGACATTCTGAGGAGACATTAAATTCTAAGGGAATTGAGCAAGATGCAGTACTTAAGTGTATTTTTTTTCTTACTTTACCTTCCTATGAGCTCTTCATTCCACAGTTACTCTGTGCAGAAGTTTGCAAAGTTTTGGGGTTTTTACTAGTGAAATCCAAGTCACTGTAAAATGAGCATCACAGATTACTTGTAATTTTTATGTATGCTACAGTAATGAGCTGATGCTTACTCACTGAGGAAATCTCTGAAATATTTTACAGTCCCACTGAAATACATTCAGAATTTGAAGTTCTTCAGCAAGCAGCTTTGCTTCAGGTACTTGCGTTCGTGTGGCATATCACATACTTGATATTAGGCAAAGAACAACTAGGCAGAATGTAGCAATGTAATGGTTCTGCCCTTTCCACAGTGTTTGCTGGTGGTTTCTGTATTGTTTTGGGTTGTTTTTTGTTGATTTTTTTTTTAAATTAGCTTAAGAGGAAAGGGAATATAAAGCACATAGGAAAGCTGGAGGTCTGCAGATAATGCTTTATGAGCTAGAAGAATTAGTTCTTTGAATCAAAGGCTTCCTTCTCTCTTATAATCTGAAAGGAACACGATAAACGGATGATGATTTCAGTGTTTACCACCTATATAACTGCGATTTTTCCAGCAGACACTCTGTTCCCTACGTCTCCCCTTGATAGGATCAGAATAGCCAAATTATCAGTTTACTTCCAGAAAGTGAAAAAACAACAACAACAAAAATTTATCACATTGCAGAAGTCATACCAAAAGTTACAACAAGGAAAATTTAGGAATGTCTTTCCAAGATATCAAACATTAACTGTAATACACATGGCACTGCTGTTTGCTTGACACATTTGAGTAAGTCATATTCAGTGCTATATCACTTCACTGGATATGAATTGTTCTGCATGACAGTTTCAGTACAGAGTGACTGTTACAGTCCATTTATTTTGTGCAGAAAAAAATTTGAAATCATTGTGCCATTTCAAATAATAAGATTGGGAGAAATAAGGAAAAAGTGATCAAGGGGATATAAAATTATTTTGTCACATACAAAAAAATGTAAAATCTTTTGATAACTTAAATGAGAGAACAAGTGATTGGAAGCACAAAAGATAAAATAATGGGTAGGAGCAGTAAAATTCATAGCAATAACAAGAATAAGCAGGGCTGGATGATAACAACAGGAGAGAAAAATAATTGGGCACTTTCTAGTAAGGAGTAAGGGATTAATTAACATTCCCTATTGGGCTGCTAATCAGAAATGGAATCCTACCTTTCCTTTGAAGGCGTACACATAACTATAAACTCTGGTGTTTATCACTAATCTTTGAGAAGAGCTTTCAGATGCTATCAGTATAAAATGTTAAGAGAAGTTTCTCAAGTATAGGAATGAATTGTTACATATAGCTATAATGATTTAAACCTCTCTATCTCAGATACCCCCTTGGCTAATATCTCGTCCCCCCCTCGAGATCCATAAAAATGCATTGATCATGGTGGCTCTCTGCTGTGCTATGAGAAGACATAGTAAATGCTCAGCAGAGTGATAGTGACAGTGAAAATTCTCATTTATTTTGACTTAGAAGTGTCAGATAAGGTATAACTCAGTTTCTAGTCAGATTTTCTCACTTTGTGTTCCCCAAATTCATCCATCCTGCTGATCCAGAGGAATTATTTCACCAACCAGACAAGATTAGAGGTAAAGATGTTTACTTCAAAAGAATTTGGTGAAGCAAATAATCAAGCCCAATGAAAAATGTCATTAGGAAAAGCTCTGTGCTTTTCTTAGCTCCTTTCTATTACACTGCAAGATGATATGTGAGCTGTGCAACAAATGGAAGGCAAAAAGATTGAGTCACTGGTTAAGGGGCAAAAGTTGGCTAAGAAACGCTCAAAGGGATAAACTTTGAAATGTTATTTAGGCATTTGTGATGTATTTTTTTCACCACAAATCTCTGTAATTATTATCTCATGGTTTTATTTGGTCTCTGTGCCAGCCACAAATAAAAAGGATGTTTTTTCTTCGGCCCTGGGTGAAGCATCATGAGACAAATACAATGTTTGCCTTCTTCATTGACTATAATTGTGAAGGCTACGTTTTCTAGACAAAACTCACTAACTCAAAAATAATTATTTGAGGAGGAAATGATGGATTTACTTTCTGCCCAGATTTTAACCTATGCTTGGGAATGAAAACTTACTTGGAAACTCAAACCTGTTCCTTGTCTTTTGCAGTTTATGCTTTTTCTGGAGAGGAAAAATAAAAAGGCTCTAAATACCACTTCCCTGCCTGTTTGTGCTCAGCTGCCTTTCCTGCCTGGGGGGTGACAGTGCTCCGGAAGAAAATGGTGGTCCTTAGGCAGAAGGAATGTGCACCAGTAACCTGACACTGGAGACAGATGTGCTCAAGGGAAGGAAATGGGGGTGGCTGAGGCTAGGCTAAACCTTGGGTAATTTTGACTTCCCCCCACCCCGTTTGAGAGGTTTTCCATGTGCTTTGAAGAGATGCACAACCTAGAAAGTACATTTAATTCAATTTTAAACCTGGAAGAAAGGTTGCTGTGTCAACGGCAGCATCTCCATGGTCCTACTGCAGTGCAAGTCGTAATTATTCAAATAATAATAAAAAAGGAAAACCAGTCTCTTGTAGATTTCAGTCTGTCTTACTTCTGTAACCCTACAATCTGTAGTTTGATTTCATTTAATACAGTGATAATACCAGTCACACACCTGAATCATAAAGTGTTTCCTTCACAAATGATTTCTTCAGTTACCTACAGAACCGTATATATGGATTTTCCTTTTTACTTACGGAAAAGACATTTACATGGGCTTGAAGGTGCACTTACTTTTCAGTTGTTTTCCATCTCTAACAAGTGAATGTGATTCTCAGATTCATCTAGAAAATACGCATTTTTATTAGTATTATTATTTTTGTAGGAAAATAAAGAGATGAACTCCGGAGCAGCAGTGCCTGTGATCCCCACCAGCGTGACCACATGTTCCATTTCAGGCAACCCATTCAGGGTCAGATTCTTCTCTGGCACTGGTCATAATTTCAGAGCTTTTTTAATTTGAAGAGACATTTATGTTGTCTTGAATTGATGGTGTTCAAGAAAAA